CACTCTTTCATCTACATAAGATATACTCCTCCAGAGGTTAATAGATCAAACCGATATAAAATAACACGTTTAATAGGTATATATGTGTATCAACAGCCGTAAACACAGGAATGCAAGTTTAAAATGTAGCGTAACGGATCAAGTAAAGATCACCTGCATAGTTTTAAAGGAAATATGACTGAAGTGTCACAACCAGCTATTTCTCTATATCCTCAGACATAAAACGTTATTTCTTTCAGGAATTTGTTCTTTACATTTAAAAAAAAACACCCCAAAATTGTATGGAGGTAGAACACTTAACCATAGGCGTCGGACCTCACCCAAGGGAACTGCGATCCCCCGCGATCTCCCCCAAAATGACCTCTGGATAGGGAGATACCAACAAGACTTGCTTGTCACGTTGCAAGAGGCAAAGGAAATGTCATAGTTTTCAGCCATGGTTTTCTCAAAGCAGATGACAGGTTGGGTCTCATAGATTATTCCCCCTAGAACTGATGCAATGCAAGAGCCTCCTGCATCACACTGGAGGGGTGTGCTAGTACTCATGGAACAGATCCACCCTGCATTGTTTTGTTGGTATAAACAGGAATATTTTTGGGCAGGAACTCACAGGAACGGAGTTCCGGCTGGCTTCAGAGTTGGCCACGCCTACTACAGTCAAAACCTCTGCGTGCGTGGCTACAGAGGGAAGGCTTGGAGAGCGACCCCCCCCCCCAGCGACTCCAAGGCGGGTGGGCCAGAAAGGATTGGGGAGGCATTTAAATGCCTCCCAGTGCCTTCCCCGGCCTGTCCAAGGACCAGCTTGCCCAGGCTCCCTGCAGCTGCGGGGCGCCCAGACAAGCCAAGGGAAGGCATGGGGGTGTGACCTAATAGGCTAATGAGTTTCTGCTGTTGGGTGTGGCCTGTTATGCTAATGAGTTCCTGCTGGGCTTTTTCTACAAAAAAAGCCCTGGGTATAAATGATCGTTCGTAAAGCCTCTTCAAATTATGGGCTTCACATCTTGGTTAACTATAGTTTTGGTATTTAGATGTAATGCTTAGCCATGGTTAAGGAAGAGGACCTATGGTTAAGCCTTACGTGTGGATAAGACATTCGTAGTAATATATTTGGATATAATTCGGACATATATCTTTTGAAATTAATAATAAAGTTAGTGTTTCTTACCGCACACAAAATCCAATTTTTATCTATTTATTTTCCATATTTATATCCCATTTCATGACAGATGGTGTTTGGGATGATTTACAAAATTAATACATGAAACAACAAATGCCATCTTAGTACCATACTGCACATAGCATCAACCCGCTCAGCAAAGAGGAACTCCACTTAAACGGATGGACCTGCATAAAATGTGGGAGGCAGGATTTTTAGTATGCATTGAACAAAATAAAAAAAAACCCTTTAAAAAATGTAACATTTTGCCCATTCTAAGAAATATTGTGGCGGGAAACTCTTAGTTTTACAATTCACAAATTACTCAGTGAACAGACCTCAGCCTACGCTCTCATCAGTAGGAACTTAGGGGGTTGTTGTAGAATGGTCCTCCTGATGGGCTAAAACTCATTGAAGACAATGGGTTGCCTGCATTGAAATGTTAAATGGAATAGGAGTAAGACGCAGTGTACGTAATGTATCAGAGTCTAGCACATTTTTAGCCACTTTGCATTAGGTCACAAAGTATGGGCTCTTCCATGCTCTCATCTTACTCACTGGTAAGTTCCTGTTTCTTCCAGGTTAAATTGCAGGAAAATATGCTGGAAATAAATTTGTGTGATTTTGAGTCAACCATTAGAGGGAGCAAAACATGTGTTGGAACACACCCCCCCCCCCCCCCCCCCGAAACAGGAACTTACCAGCGATTAAAATGAGAATGCAGAAAAGCCCTATGTGTCTATGGTGGTACAGTGTTGCTCATTTGAATGCTCCCTTTTTTTTAAAAAAAAGTAACTCTCTGCACATAGCAAGCTAGCAAATAAAACAGAAAGATCAACTTGAACTTTTCTCCCAGATAGATTAACTTTCTACATACAGGGATATGGTGTGGGTTTAAAAATAAATAAATAACAAGGTGAACTTTCTGTCATGCATTCTAGTTTTTGCATTCTGAAGGCATATTTCTTGAGCTTAGGGGGCCCGTTTGAATTGGCTCTGTGTTATCACTAATAACTATCAAGTGGCAATATCAGGAGCAGGAGATACCTACGCTCAGTCATCAAGGTGTTAATGGAGACAGCCAGTTGGGAGACCCCAGGCACTGCTATGTAGATTACGTAGCTGGGGTGCTGAGCAGTTAAGTGAACCTACCCCCATTTTGCAAAAAAAAGAGAAAAATCTCATCTCAGTCAGGCTGAGCTTCTGAGACACTCGGAAGCAGCTTGTAGAGACGCCTCTCGGTTTCTCAGAATCGACAGAAGATTGGGGCCCTTACCAGCTGCTTGCATCAACCTTCAGAGGCACTTTAGGGTTGTCAGCCCATCTGGAGAAAAGCGTCTTTTCCCTTAATGTGTGAAAACGGGGAGTGGAAGCTTCTCACGGCATGGAGGTGAATAGTGTCGCCCGGTAAATAGCATTCATATTAAGTATCTGTTCAAGGGAGAAGACATCTTTCTCTGGGCGAGGTGGCAACCTTAGAGGCACTTGGATGCTTGCCGCTTCTGAAGCCCAGCATGATGTCTCACTTCGGTCCAGGTCAGGCACCACGTATGGGCTCGTTGTCATAAGAGAGAGGCTCACTGCTGGAGAGCACCTTTGTGGACCTCTGCACATGGCTCTGCAGAATTTACAAGCATGCTTTTTTTAGTGGCTGCACAGACGGGCAGCATAATTCCTGAACCAGTACATGAATACACACAAACACGCGAAGCTGCCTTATACTGAATCAGGTCATTGGTCTGTCTGGGTCAGGATAGACTACTCAGACTGGCAGCAGCTCTCCAGGGACTCGGGCCCAGGGTCTTGCACGTCACCTCCTAGCTGATCCCTTTAACTGGAGACACTGGGGATTGGACCTGGGAATTTCTTCATACCAAGCAGATGCTCTTCCACTAAACCACAAGCCTACCCAATAGTAGAACTGAAAAGCTAAGCTATCTTCTGCCCTGTCCTCCATTTATTTATTTATCTTTGCTGAAACGCACGTGAAGAGACTGTTCTGCATTCCAGCCTAGGGTCTTTCAACTACTGAGTTAGAGAAGTATCTCTGCCGTGTTGTTGTTTAAAAAATCTGTCATCTTCTTCTGGCCACAGAAGCATGGAGTAGGAACACCATAGGGATTCTTTGTTTGGTGAGGTGGTTAATCTGGAGAACTGGGTTTGATTCTTCACTCCTCCACATGCAGCCAACTGGGTGACCTTGGGTCAGTCACAGTTCTCTCAGAGCTGTTCTCTCAATAGCAGTTCTCTCAGGGCTCTCTCAGCCCCACCTACTCTACAGGGTGTCTGTTGTAGGGAGAGGAAGGGAAAGGAGATTGTAAGCTACTCTGAGATACCTAGTGAAGAGTGGGGTATAAATCCAATCTCCTCTTCCTCCTCCTCTTCAGTAAGCATGCCAGCTGTCTCTTTCAGACAAGGTGCCAATCTTGCTTACCACAGTAGCACAGCTGGGTAGACCAACTGGGGCTTGCGAGGCTGAGCAGTGCAATCACGATTAAGATCGTAGTCGTAACAGGAAAAATAGCTAAATGCACACACGTGTTTGGGTAGGTGTTCAGCTGACTTAAATCAGTGGTGCGGTTGTGCAGGGATGTTGTTGAGACTGGACAGAAGAGGGGATAAGGTACAATCTGATACTCCTTCAGAAGGAGGTTTCATGTGCCTGCAAATTGAAAATAGGCTCTTAGGGAGTCAGTCAAGCAATCATAACTGAGAAGGAAAAAAGGCCAAGTCTGAAGTTGAAGACAAAAATTGGACGGAGCAGTCTAGTAGATCTCTGACTGATTGCTGGAGGGAGATTGAGAAGGATCAGAGATGTCAAAGAAAGGAAGCTAGTGGTCAGAGTGCATGGGCTGTGGGTGGAAAAATATCCAGACTGAACCGAAGCAGATGTGGTTTGTTGCACTGATAACTGTCAGTTGACCCCTTTTGGTCAGATTGATTTCCATGAAAAGGTAGTGTGGTTCAAGCTGTGCCATCTTGACCCATCTCTTAATCCTAACTATGTGGGCTGCAGTTGCTCAGGAGTGAGAAAAAGGCACTTTGCTTCATTATTACTTCACATTTTCCAGAGCTCTTTCCTAATAGTGAAAATAAATTATGTGGGGAGTTAGGATATAAAGTAAACCCTGGTCATGTCCTTTGCTACTTCCTCTCCCTAAAATCAAAGTGAAATTTATCTTTTGCAGAATGCCGGTAGGCTTTTAAAGAAAACATTCACTTCTGTTGTTGGTTTTCTGATCTGCTTTTTTTAAAAAAAGTATTATTCCCTCAAGAAATAACCTTGTTTAAAACATTCCATGAATTAACTTTGTGTGTCGGAGGGGTCTGATTTCTTAGGAACTCCAAGCAGGGTAAGACACAAGGCAGATACGATTCATGTCTGTCGAGCTGAAATAACTGTACCTTCCCCTGTTATATAATTTTACGGCACACAGTCCCCATTTCACTGACAGGGTCCCCATTTCATGTGACCATTTTCAGAACACGCTAACTGAGTATTGTTAGGTCCATAAAACCAAGAGCATTTAGAAAATGTTGTTGTATGTACATGCCACCTTGAGGGAAGCACCAATCAGATTTTTGCCAGGGGCACCATCAATATTCTTGGGTCAGTTGCCTGACAAAAAAGGTAAAGGTTCCCTTGATCGAAAGCCAGTCGAATCCGACTCTAGGGTTGCGGTGCTCATCTCCGTTTCAAAGCCGAAAAGCCAGCGCTGTCCGAAAACATTTCTGTGGTCATGTGGCCGGCATGACTAAACACCAAGGCGCACGGAACGCTGTTCCCTTCCCACCAAAGTGGTCCCTATTTATCTACTTGCAATTTCTTGCTTTCAAACTGCTAGGTTGGCAGGAGCTGGAACTAGAGACGGGAGCTCTCTCCGTCATGCGGCACACTCGGGTCTCGAACTGCTGAACTATCGACCTTCCACAGCCTGCAGTTCAGCATCTTAACCACTTGAGCCACCGCAGCCTGACGTTACACAACTGTAAAAGCTTTCCATTTTAGTAACAACCTTTATGAAGCTCTGCAGACCTTCAAGTAAAAAAACCCTTCAGGTGTGGCGTTAAAATGGGCCAAGTCACCCTAAAAATAAAAAAATAAAATAACTTACTGGCTTTGAATGTTTAGATAAGAGAATGGTGCCGTTGCATATAATGGGACCTGTCTTCATGCTGAGTGAGGTTAAAGGATTGTGCTGTGTTAGCATGGCAGCTGTGTACCCATAAAAGTTAAAAATTTGGAAGTGAGATCCAGGTGCTGGTTGGGATTAAAGGCGGGTCCCAGGTCCGGACAAGGGGATCGCCGTTCCAACCTGTATGCAGTGAACAAAGGATCTCCCAGGGGCCAGTTGCGGGAGAAGTAAATATGGACCCCAAACTATACAACAGAGACATTGGCTAAAATCTCCTTCTCTCTTACGAACTGAATGGCACTGTGGATACTATGAAAGAGCAACTCGTGCATGTCTTTGTTTTCACTCCCCAAATAGCCTCCTCTTTCTAGAGAATCTATCACACTGGGGTTGCAGCAAGCCAAGAGAACAGTGATTTGGAGCTCCTGGTGGTCTTTGTGCGTGTCCTTTAATGTGCTCACTCCAGCCGTGTCGACGAACAAAATGGCTGAACAGTCTATAACGATGGCTTGCAGGTCGTTGTGTTTAGGGACTAGCCATGGAGTCTGCTCTCCCTGGCCTGGTCCCTTCTCAAGGCTTCGTTGACCTTTCCTCTTGGCCTTTTTCCTCTTGGCGATTTCCACAGCTGGATCCAGGCCTGTCCTTCTGTGGAGGCACTTCAGGAAAAAGTCCTTGTTTGCATAATAAAGCGGCGCTTCAAAGCGGAAGATTTTGACCTTTGGAATGGTCAGAAGGTTTTTGTATTCCCCGTCGTCTTCATAGAAGACAGTGTTCGCAATTCGGCCCAGTAGGGCAGCATGCGGAACCTGGGTGCGGCCAACAATGCACAGCATTGAGAAAACAACCCCCACCAGAAGTCCCATTTCAGTGCTGATGAGGGCAGAGGCCAGCATCGTCACGCACCACACGAGTGCATCGATTTTGTCTAGGCGGTAGCGCCGGGGGACGTCTTTGAATTTCCGAAGGGCTCCCCTTAGGCTGACGATGATAATGCAGGCCAAGATGCACTTCTGCAAGTTGTAAAAAAGGGGAGCAAAGAACAGCAGCACCAGTAGGACGACCACGGCACTTATGATGCTGGACACCTGGGTCTGGCATCCCGTCGACGATTTGACCAGACTTTTGGCCAGAGCTGCGCTGGTGGCGAAGCAGTGGAAGAAAGCCGGGATGATGTTGCAGAAGCCGATGGCGAACATTTCCTGATTGGCTCGGACCGTGTAAGCGTACTTCTTGGCGAACATTTCCGAGAGCGAAATGGTGAACGCAAAGCCAACGATGGCGAGAGGGAGGGCGTCGACGGCAACTCTCTGCATGAGGCTGACGTCGGGAACTCGGGGAGGGATAAATCCAGTCGGGATGGCGCCTGACACACTGGAGGCGTAGACTTCATTCAGTCGCCCGTAATGAGACACCAGCGTGGCCACCACAATCACCACTAGCTCGGTAGGAAGCGGGACCTTGAGCCGATGCTTGTATCTGTCCCCTAGCTCCTTGGCGGTGACCAGCACAGCAATGCAGATGGTGCTTGTAATGACATCGCAAAGGTTAGCCTGGGCAATGTTGCGAAAAATGTTAACCCAGGTGGTTATTAAGATCCCGTACCCCTGGGCACGCGGGATCTTGATCCCGATGAGATACTTCACTTGAGCTGTTAAAATGGTCACCGAAGCACCCGTAGCAAACCCATCCAGGACAGGCTCGGAGAGATACATCGACACAAAGCCCAAGCGGAAAAGTCCCATCAGAACCTGCAAAGAGAAAGCAAAAGAAATCACAGAAGATAATCAAGAAGTATATATATCAGACCTCACTTCAAGAAGTATATATATCAGACCTCACTTCTACATTATTGGCTACGGCAAGACTGACTATAGCGGCCTCATGGAAATCTCCCAAACCTCCTACTATTCAGAACTGGCGAAATAAATGTTGGGATCATTTTATAATGGATAAGATTGCAGATAAATATGAAGGGCAAGTGAATAGTCATATAGGATCTCATACCAAATTTGTGCGCAGGTGGTTCCCCTTGATCACGTATTTCGTGGAAAATGATCTACTACCCTCAAACCGTAATTATCTGGAATGGATACATTGTTGATTTACAGGTGTTTAGGCTGAGCTCTTATCATATAAGTTTTAGAAGTGAAAAGTAGATTAGACTGAGTACGGATACTGAGTTGAAATTGATTGAAAACACAATGTAATATATCTTTCACTATGCATGTTTGTATTGTTTTCATTAAATAAAACTTTGTTTTTTGTTGGGTTTTTTTAGCCCCCGGAGGGGATTTTTTATTGGGTTTTTTTAACACTACAAAAACTACAACAGAAAAAGGGAGGGGAAAAACTACATATAAAGGAGAAAGTAAAGAACCCACTACTGACTAAATAAAATTTTGAAGGTAAAAGAAAATGAGGGGAAAAAAGAGAGAAAGCAAGAGCAAGTGTAAGAGTAGAATGTGCCTTGCTTAACAACAAGAGGTTGCCTCTGACTTTGTGGGGATTTCTTTAAAAGAAAATCTTAATGTCTTCTAATGAAACTGTGAACTTAGGCAGATCATGAGAAGGGAGGGCAGGAAGGGTTGCATCAGTGCTGGGCCACGCCCCCAACGTTTCGGGGCGGAGTTCCCCCCAGGGCCCGAATCAGGCCTCCAAAGCGGGGGTTTCCCTGCCCCCCGCCCCCACTTGGCAGCCCTACTCACGATTCATGACTGGAAGCATCATGGCTTTTCCATGAGAGCCAATTTGGTGTAGTGGTTAGGAGCACGGACTCTAATCTGGGAGAGCCGGGTTTGATTCCTCACTCCTCCATGTGCAAACCACCTCTGTTCGTCTGTTGCCTTGAAAACCCTGTAGGTCGCCACAAGTTCCAAACTAAGGAGGCTTGGAGATGGGGAAAGACCTTGATATAGTCCCCCACTGAGCATGCTTACACATGCTCCTGAGCCAGTTTGGTGTACTGGTTAGGAATGCAGACTCTAATCTAGGAGAACTGGCTTTGAGTCCCTACTCCTCCACATGCAGCTGCTGGTGTGACCTTGGGTCAGTCACAGTTCTCTCAGAGCTGTTCTCTCAAGAGCAGTTCTCTCAGAGCTCTCTCAGCCCCACCACCCTCACAGGGTGTTTGTTGTGGGGAGAGGAAGGGAAGGAGATTGTAAGCCGCTCTGAGACTCCAAGTGAAGGGCGGGTTATAAATCCAGTTTCTTCTCTTCTTCTTCCCTTCCTCCCAGCAGTATCGTCTGACTCCAGGAAAGTTACCTGTGTGGATTAATATGTTACTGGTTTTTTAATAATTTTGTATTTTTACTTTTTAAGTTACTTCAGGCAGGAGAAGCGGCAGGTCAGTTTGATAAATCAATAATGGGCAGGTAGGTCAGGGCTGTTCCGAGGTGGGAGAAAGCGCCTTGCCTCTTCCATCGGTGCGGCTCCACTGGATGAAGAGAGAGGAGGGACAAGTTTTACCCACTTGTCTAGTGCATCCCTCTGAGCTCCAAAGCAATTAGTCTGTGTGGGTCCCTCAACCCCAAAGTCCAACATCAACTGCCCTGTGGCTGCCCGGAAAGCGAGTTGGGTCCAGGGAACCTGGATCCGACTTATTAATCGTAATTGACATGTAATTTAGCCCAAAGCCCTTTAATATTTAATATTGCCATGTATTTTAATGTTAATATTTTATATTTGTTTTTATGTTTGTTTGTTTTTACCTTATTGGTTTTAATGTTGTCAGTCGCTAAGAGACCCTTTGAGTGAGTGGCGACTAAAAAGAATCTAATAAATAAGTATCAGGGATGAAGATGTTAGGTAGGCATTTAGGCTTGAGGGAGGAAGAGAGCATGGTTTCTTACCATGTAGAAGCTCTGCAGAAGCAAAGCTGCGTGTGAATAGGCCTCTTGCCTCTTCTGTTCCTTTCCTCTCACTGCTATTTGTTAAGCTTAGGGCTGCCAGCTATGGGTTGGGAAATTCCTGGAGATTGGGTGGGCAGAGGCTAGGGAGGGTGAGGCTTGGGGTGGGGAGGGGCCTCGGCAAGGTATAATGCCATAGAGGCTACCCTCTGAAGTGTCCATTTTCTCCAGGGGAACTGATCTCTGTAGCATGGAGATCAGATGTGATCTCCAGCCACCACCTGGAGGTTGGCCACTGTGTAGCCTGGGCATCAGCTGTAATATCAGGAGTTCTCCAGCCACTACCTAGAGGTTGGCAACCCTAGTTAGCCTTCTGCATTGTTTCATAAATAACCAGGGCTCTTTTTGTAGAAAAAGCCCAGCAGGAACCCATTAGCATAATAGGCCACACCCAACAGCAGGAACTCATTAGCATATTAGGCCACACCCCTGACAGCACAGCTCATTAGCATATTAGGCCGCACCCCCATGTTACCAGAAGTGTGGTTATCCAGCCACACCCACCTTTTGCTTGTTATTCTGTTTACCTTGTTTGTTGTCAAAACCCAGGGCTTTTTTGTAGCAGGAACTCCTTTGCATGTTAGGCCACACCCCCCAATGTAGCCAATCCTAATGAGTTTCTGCTGTTGGGTGTGGCTTATTATGCTAATTTTTGATGAGTCCTGCTGGGTGTGGCCAACTTGGGAGCCAGCCGGAACTCCGTTCCTGTGCGTTCTTGCCCAAAAATAGCCCTGTAAATAGCAATAAATTGCCGTTCTTTCATTGGTTTCCCTTTAAGCAAAAGCTAGGCTCCCTGCAGGAAATGTGTATTCTCGTAGAGTGGACAAGGACCATTACCTGATAAACTCCAGCCAAGAAGGTCAGTGCCGTAGCTACTCCAATGGCGTAGCATTCTTTCCCACATTCAGTACTCACAGAGCCGAGGGTAACGTTGTAAACTGTAACATTCAAATGGCCTCTGCTGTAGGTGGCTTCCTGAGGATCGTCGTTGAGGTCAAACCCTGCCAAGAGCAGTTCTCTGTCCACGACTTGTCCAACCATTAAGCTTAATAAGCTGAAAATTCCAACCGAAACATGTCGGGAGGTACCCATGAGGAAGTAGATAATGTTGGCAAAGAAGGAAGTGTAAAGGCTATAAATTGGCTTCAGGCCCGCTAGCAGAGAGTAGGCTATTGCTTGGGGTACCAAAATGATCCCAATGACGAGGCCAGACATAACGTCCCCCCAGATATATTCTTTACAGTTGTATTTGGGAAGCCATCGTAACACAGGGAAGAAGTCCATGACTGACTTTTTCATTCTCCTCATGGAGCAAGTGCAGTTTTTTCTGAGTTGGCTTTTCATCATGTCCATTTTTCGAATCCGGACTGGAGGCTTTCTTTCCATAAGAAAACGGAAAGGAGACCCGTTCTCTGTCCTCACAATCTCTGTTTCCTTCTCCATTCTGTGCCCGTCTCAATCAGTTCCTGTGACATAAAGAGATTACTGTTTGAATTGGCTTGATCCCCTTTCATGGTTCTTGCACTCAAACCCAACAGTTCAACATAAGTTTCATTTGAAAATGCATTACTGTTATTCATTTGATTTGCACCCTACTCCATCTCAGAGATTGGGGGTGCTGAAAGAAATTTAAACTTTAAAAATGGAGAGAGAGGACACCAATGAGATGGCAGTTTCTTAACTATTCTACGACATCAGGAGGGGCAACCTTGTGAAATAATCCTGTATTTTCGTCTTCGACGTTTTATTTTTACAATAATGTATTGTAAAGTTTGTAAGCAGCATTTTCTAATTGGCGGCTATGCACAGTAGCAGTTTATCTGAGCTGTAAAGCATAATGAGGCCAGGCTTCGATGGCCTGGGCTAGCCCAATCTCGTCAGATCTCAGAAGCTGAGCAGCCCAGGTTAGTACTTGGGTGTGGATGCCAGCCTCCAGGTGGGGACCTGGGCATGCCCCAGAATTACAGCTTATCTCCAGACTACAGAGATCAGAGGTGTCGAACTCATGTGTTATGAGGGCTGGATCTGACATAAATGTCACTTTGTTGGGCCGGGCCATGTGTGCCATAAAACGTAATGCCAGATAGCGGAGATATAAACTATACAAAGGACAGCAGCTGGTAAGCCCCGAGTTGGTGTATCCCCACTGCAAGGCCTCATGGTCTGGGAGGGGGTGCAATGGACGGACTGGAGAGCCAGTGGTGCAGCACTGGGTAGATGTTCCCACGCTGCTTGACTGCTGCAGACGAGGTTGTTCTGCCATGCTGAAGCCACAGTCGGAGTGGCTTCGCCTGCTCCCCTCCCCAAGCAGTTTCCTGTTCCCTCCCGTGCACTAGTTGCTCGCGGGCCGCATAAGAGCCCTGGATGGGCCGGTTCTGGCTTTATGTTCTACACCCCTGCCCTGGAGAATATGGATGCATTGGAGGGTGGACTCTGTGGCATTGTACCACAATGAGATTCCTGTCCCCCCCAGGCTCCGTCCCCAAATCTTCAGTAGTTTCCCGATTTGGAGCTGACAGACTTATCTCCCCCCTACCCCCACCAGTGGCAAGTCGGGACCTGGCAACCCTATTTGGATGGGAAACCACCAAGGAAGTCCAGGGTCACTATGCAGAGGCAGGCAATAGCAAACCAACTTTGTTCGTCTCTTGGCTTGGAAACCCTATGAAATCGCCATAAATTGGCTGTGACTTGAAAGCACTTTCCACCCCCCCAGACATAATTAACTTCAACAAACTCAGAAGGTAAGATGGCACTGCAAAAGAATGAATCTAGCTCACTAGCACAGTAGAAGAATGAATCTAGCACGCACTTTGTTTTTAGTAATTAAATATAAGCCAAGGTGGGGGGTTGAAATCAGGGCTATTTTGGGGCAGGAACGCGCAGGAATGGAGTTCCGGCTGGCTCCCGAGTTGGCCACGCCCAGCAGGAACTCATTAGCATAATAGGCCGCACCCAACAGCAGAAACTCATTAGGATTGGCGACATTAGGGGGGGGTGGCCTAACACGTAAAGGAGTTCCTGCTACAAAAAAAGCCCTGGGTTTTGACAACAAACAAGGTAAACAATGTCAGGGGGTGTGGCCTTATGACACACTTCCGGTGATGTCAGGGTGTGTGGCATATGCTAATGAGTTATGCTAATGAGTTCCCCTAGCTCTTTTTCTACGAAACGATCCCTGGTGGTGCTGAATAGGTTGTTCCCATCAGGAAGAATGTATTACCAGTACACCGATAGAGTACTTCCTGCCTTTGTATTCTGACTTTCCCCCAGGGTGCTATAGACTGTGCACACAAGGGGCTTTCCTACTGTGAAGTTAGTGACTCCTGTAAGATCACCAGGTGGGTAGCAGGGGACGTTCACGCATGAGCAGGGGTTTAAACTCGGGCTCCCTTGTCAGTACGGTTATCTCACCTCACCGCTTTGCTCTCACTTCCAGCTTTCTGCCACTTTCAGCAAAAAAAAAAGCAGGATTTTTGACGGTGCCATCCTAAGTCGTTACCTGCTTCCATGCCTACTGATATCTGTGGATTCTGTGGGGGTGTTACTCTTCTTAGGTAACGGTAAAGGTTCCCTTGCTCGAAAGCCAGTCGAATCTGACTCTAGGGTTGCGGTGCTCATCTCCGTTTCAAAGCCGAAGAGCCAGCGCTGTCCGAAGATGTTTCTGTGGTCATGTGGCCGGCATGACTAAACACTGAGGCGCATGGAACGCTGTTACCTTCCCACCGAAGTGGTATTTATTTATCTCCTTGCAATTTCTTGCTTTTGAACTGCTAGGTTGGCAGGAGCTGGAACTAGAGACGGGAGCTCACTCCATCATATGGCACCCGGGTCTCGAACTGCTGAACTACTGACCTTCCACAGCCTGCAGTTCAGCGTTTTAACCACTTGAGCCACCTCAGCTCCTGCAAATATCTTATCCACTGCCAGGGCCGGATTTAGACTTGCTGAAGCCCTAAGCTATACAAAACCCAGAGGCCCCCTACTGTTTTAAATCACATCAGCTGGTCTCAGAAAAATTTAAAATATATACGCCTTTTTAATATTTGAAATCATTTTTTATATTGTGTTTTTATTCGAGGCCCAAGCAGATTGCGAGGCCCTAAGCTGTAGCTTATTTAGTTTATGCGTAAATCCGGCACTGTCCACTGCCAATAAGCCAAGGATTGTTCTGTGTTCTTTCCGCGCACTGGCTTTAACCATCTCAGTTTATGAATCGTGCCGTTCTTGTCTTTGTCTGCTCTGTAGTGACTTTCATGTGATCATTCCTGAACTGTGTGCCATGACATAGTTCCTTGTGTGCACTGAGAAATGAATGGAATAATTAGGGAATCCCTCTGGCTCAAAAGAGCTAGCCACTCTGTGTTCTCTGAGCAGAAGAAGAGTTTCGATTTATACCCCGCCCTTCACTACCCGAAGGAGTCTCAGAGCAGCTTACCATCTCCTTTCCTTCCCTTCCCCTCCCCACAACAGACACCCTGTGAGGTAGGTGGGGCTGAGAGAGCTCTGAGAGAACTGCTCTTAAGAGAACAGCTCTGAGAGAACTTGTGACTGACCCAAGGTCACACTAGCAGCTGCATGTGGAGGAGTGGGGAATCAAATTCGGTTCTCCCAGATTAGAGTCTGCGCTCCTAACCACTATATCAAAGTGGCTCAGGAGCATGTGTCAGCATGCTTGGTGGGGGGCTATACCAAGGCCTTGCCCCATCTCCAAGCCTCCCCCATTTGGAACATCAGCCTGCAGAAGCTCCATCAAGCCCCATATTACAGGCTTCCTGGTTTTAACTGTGACAACCTAGTCACTCTGGAAGGTCTTGAGGAAGGGAATTTGGTCCCTTGTTACCTATCTGCTCAATGCTGATCTTTGTGAGTATATTCTGTATCTGTTTTATGTCTCATTGCACATATTCTTCATGGAAAGGCAGCAGAAAAATTTATCTTAGCAGGTGGCCTCTTCTAAGGTTCGTCCTGGGGCATGTTTGCATGGGGGGATTCGATCTGCCAATCAGTCCTGATGCACTAGAATTAACACTTAGAGACTCTTCCGGTCTGTGGCTCAGCGATGGCGGACGCTCTCCCCTACCACTGGGGAGGCATTCCGCGCTCTAGTGGGGTTGGAAGGGTGCCACCTCAAGTGACACCCCCAGGTGAGCCTTAGTGAAAGGCTCCAAGCCGGGGGTGCTGGAGGGGCGACCTCTTCGACGGCATAATGCCGGAGAATTGAGGTGCTCCTTTGCCCCAATCGGTCCGCCCCCTGAGAGGCTCGGTTTTTACTGAGCTCAGCTGATGCCAGCCGGGACAAGCAGTGAGGGTCAACGATCTATCGAAGCTACAAGGAGTCTGGATGCAGACTGTCAATGAACCGGAGAAAGAATCAAGCGAAAAAGTTTAAAAAGTGAGTTCTCCCCCCCCCACTCATCTGGAAGCGGCGCCGGGGACAATTCCCTGGCGTAAACAAACTGAACTGTGTAAAAAAAAAAAAACAGAGGGGGGGAGGAGAGAGGAAGATCGTAATGATGTGCTAGAGACTTAGCTGCGTTTGCAGAAAAACTTGAGCGCTTTTTCGAAGAAGAGTGAAGGAGGTCTTCTAGTGTAAACAAAGTGGAAAATGGCCGGCGCCCGGGGAAAACTAGGCAGACAAGTTGGGCGGGGCGGTCAAAGTCCGAGGATCGAGGAGACAGGAGATCTGATCTCTATGCTATCAGAACTGCTCAAGCCAATAAACGAGAGACTCGATGGTATTAACCAGCAGATGACCGCATCCAACCAAAGCCTAGCAAAGCAACAGCAGCAGATTGCCGAGTTGGTTAAAAAGTCGATCCAAACAGACGAAAAACTTAAAGAGACAGTGCACGATACCAAGAAAGTCAAAAAGAAAGTTGGTCTGCTTGAACAGAGACAGGACCTACAGGAACGCAGATTGCTGAATCTTCAAATGGAAAAAGCAAACAAGATACTCAGGTTTCAGGGGATAGCTGAATCGCAAGGAGAAAACTTGAAAAAGTTGATGGCAGAGCTGATCGCACCGGCGATAGGTTGCTCATCGGCAGAAGCGGAAGCAGAGATTGAGGTGGTTTATCGATCATACTCAAAGTATATTAAACTGAATAACCTGCCAGGTGAAATTGTCGTCAAGTTTCTCTGAAGACAGACGAGAGATGATACTCTAAAAGCAACAGCAGCTAATCCCCTGCAGCTGGGAGCCACACCCATCAGGGTTTTGAAAGACACTCCATTTGAAGTTCGGGAAAAAAGAAAAGCGTATAAAGAATTGATTTCAACCTTGCAGATCAACCAGATTCCATATTCCTGGAATTTCCCAGAGGGTGTCGTGTTCAAATACAGAGATAAAAGGGGAAAAATTGACTCGGTTTTTAAAGCAGAAGAATGGTTGAAGCGGTTCTTTGGAGCGCAAGAAGAAGAACAGCAAAAAGGAGAGGGCG